TGAATAAATGAAATTAATAATTTTATGTTTCTATGATGACCCAACAGGGGGTCGCCATTGATTTTTTGCCTGGAAAGGGGTCGCGTATTCAAAAAGTTTGAAAAACACTGCTCTAGTGATACACAATTTTCTGAAATGCTCCTCAAATATTGTCAAACATTTGAGGAGCATGTGCTGATTTGATTTTTCAAGTTTGTTCTAGAACGCTAAGTAGAAAATAAACCGTATTTCCTAGAACTACAATTTGTGCATCATAAATTAATTGATTGTTGTTATTGCATTATAATTAATAAACAAATTAAGAATATTCGATAATCGTTTAGAATCATCGAAACGTAGGTAGATATACCTATCTAGATTACTCGGTAAGAAAAAACTAGCAGTTTTAGTTAAAAGAAGTCATTCAATCGTGGATTGCCAAAAGTTTTTACATACCTAGTGTATTAAAATTGTGTGTTTTTTGGTCTCGTTTCGTGTTTTGTTTGTGCATGTGTTAGTCACCTCGATCTTGGTCTGCTGAGCCGTATAGCGACTACCTGCCGGTATATATTACTATGGGAAAGAGCGCCCGACAATAGTTGTGCGTTTGACTTAGAGACGAGAGACGCTTCTCGGCTATTTAGTAGCATCTTCGAGTATTATAGAAATAGACAATTAACCAAAATGTACCAACTTTCGGTAGCTGTAGTGCTTCTAGTTTATATCAACAGTGTTCAACTTAAACAAATACGTAAGTACATATTTATTAAATATAAATTGTGATTATTGATTAAGAAAAAAAAAAAATATCTTATCGTGCATACTTCACTGAAAAAGCTGATCAGTTAGTTTAGAGCCAATTTTTTAAATGAGTAAGTAAATGTAAATAGTTATATAATTATAACCAACCGCTTAGATAAGTCAATTGTATTATTAATAAATTAATTGTTCAATATTTAAGTAATTTGACTTTTTATAGTGCAAACATAAATTATAGATACACCTATAATTATACATTTACTGTTGTTTTTTCAGTTACAGAAACAATTTTACGTAGGTATTTTTGAGATAAAATTAAGGATTGGTACAAAAAGATCAAATATTTAAAATTAATATTAATAAATTAATGATGGAACTATGTACCTATTATGAAAGAAAAATTGCGTAGGGGATTTTACACTACTTCGACCAGTGCCGTTTTCTACATGCACAGTTACTATAATATGAAAAATATTAGATACATATACATGCATGTGTCGTGCCTATAACTTTTACGGTTTAAAAAACGGATATTTAGACCACAGCTGTCAAAATATTTGAATCATTGTATTACGAGTACCTACAATATAATATTTAAACTGTATAATCTAAACATGTATATATCAATAACTTGGTTAACGTAAACAATTTACCATGTAATAGAACAGATTATCACGGTATCACAAGAAAATATTTTATTAGAGGATATTGCTTACCTACGTAAAATATATCACTCCTGTATGCCTTGAGGGGTAGGATTGGTGTTACATCACATCTGGCTATAGTTTGAGATTGTGTATCACAATAGGTCACTATTGGTTATCAGCCTGTCGCCTAAAATTGTAATACACATCAACGTGAAATCCCTTAGCTGCTTCTTACGACATGGGAAAGATATGGGGTGCTGCTATTGTAAATCGGCATCACACGGCATTATTATTTCATTAGAGGATATTATTTTTGCAAAATCTTTTTTTCCTTTGTTTGTATCAAAAGGACAATCTTTATTTATATCTGCAAATTTACAAAACCGGTAATCCTTCCTTATGGTCTAATTATGCATTCGCAATGGTCATGATAGCTGATAACGGTGACGACGGCCTCGTCTTTTCTATTCAAGCATTATTTTTATTTTGCGCCGTGTGATGCCGGCTTAGAATGTCATCACATCACCCCATATCTTTCCTGTGGGTGTCGTAAGAGGCGACTAAGGGATAAATTCATCCAGGGGTGCAATCCCTGGATGAATTTCGCAATCGTATTGCAACATCTTGCATTGCGTTCACCAACCCGCCTGCCAAGCGCAAGGCCCATGTTCAGCAGTGGACTTTATTGTGGCTGTTATGATGATGATGATTCTTTTAATTTGTCTAGCGGTCTGTTTAGTAACAGGACCTGGAAGTCCCTGGTTCGAATCTTTTGGGAACATTGTGCGATTATGTCTACTTTGGTTCCGACGTTGCAAGCGTAACCAATTGGCGTCGGAGCAAGATAGTTTTGTGCTTCGGAGGACACGATTTTCATTTACGATTAGGTTATTTATTGAAATAGCCGTTGTCACACAAATAAAGCAGAAAAAAAATGTCTACGGATCACTACATTCGGCCAATCTCATTTCTAGACGGAAAAACACAGTTTATCTTCTTACTGATTTTAATATACTTGTTTACTTACTCCTGTGGCTTTTTACATTATATCAACATCCATAACGATCCACTGTTGTGGCTTACTGAATATAGATGGTCATTTTAAAGAGTAACGTTTGCCGAGAGTAGAATAGCTAATTCTATAAACAAAGGGAATGTATAGTACTTAAACCTTATTGTGTGGTCTAAATGATATTACAACTAGTTGCTACGTATTTATGAGGTCCTTGCTATTACATAGGCGATCTACAATACAAACAAACCTACTAGCATGGCTGAAATAAAAATGTAATACGAGTAGAGTCAATAACTCAATAATAAATAAGCTACTTGGCCTACAAAATATTCGGAGATGTGAAATTACCAAATTAAGGAACCAAGGTGTTCAAAAGTCTGTAAAGGATAGTAAAGTAATTTTTGATGTATGAGAAATGACAAAAATAATTATGTCATACTCATCCTAAGTATCTTTGGTAGGTTTTATAAGTATCTAGGAGTATGTATTTTAAAATGAATAACACTTAAAATTTTAAGCCATTAATATAAATCTAATATCGCTTACTATTCGTAAAATTTACACTTACTCGAATAATGCCAGTTATCCAAACATCACGTTTTGATCAGAAATAGCATCCTACTATTTATACTACAATATAGCATTTTCCCACAGTAAATACAAGGTTCAACATGCATTAAGGTCAAGTGTCCGTAATTCACAAGATTTGATGACAACCTTAGTTATAATACTTTGGCATTACTCCAAAATCTATGCATTTACTGTATACTTAAGTAAATTTTCATCTTGAAAACTGTGATTTGCATTTGGATAAGTAAGTATAAAGCATGCAGCACGTGCCAAGCCTATATTCAATACATAGATAAAACTAGCTGGTGCCCGCGAACTTCGTTTCGCCAAAGAAGTTTTTGAGCCAACAGAAGCTGCACATCATGCTAAACAACTTTTTCAATACAGACATTTTTGTATCTCATAAGGGCGCCACACAACGGGCGCGTATGCGTGACGTGCACGTCATCACGCGCGTAGAGATGACGTTGTATCGTATGGGATTGTATAAGAGGCCTGCCTGCGTATGCGTGCACGTAATCACGCGAGTAGTGCGATGTGCGGTGCCTCATACAATCCCAGACGATACAACGTCATCTCTATGCCGACTTCCTGGTGTTCCGTGACGGAACTTCCGTCACGTAGGTACAGATAGTACCTCCAGTGCTGATAATGGTTCTCACTAATCATCAAATACGATCAGCACGTTTATCTTCCACCATACCAAACATCTAAAAACATCGCTTAATTTTGAGTATCCATGCACAATTATACCACACAGACAGTTTGATCTCTTCTTCCTTGCCACCTTCCCACTTTGGGTGGTGCTGGCTCTCTTATTTTTTTGGTGCCATAACATTCTTTCTGGGGCTCTCGAGTCAGTTAGGTCGTCTTTTTTTGTGAGCCTGGTCATACACACTAACTGACAACATTTTCAAAAATAGGTAGTGCGATATTGATATTAATTGTTTACTCATTTCATTACCCGCCCATTATTATTAGGGTTCCGCACCGAAAGTGTACTCTATTACTGAGACTTCGCATCACTGTCTGTCTATTACCAGGTTTATATCTCATAAACCGTGATAGTAAGACAGTTAAACTTTTAAATTTAAATTACAGATGTTGTATTTCTGTTGCAATTGCGGCACCCATACAACTAACATGATTTTTATGCTATTTTTACACATAATGGTACGTTCTCATTTTCGATGTTTGTCTCATAGTTAGTATTTTATGCGTGATTAGTACGATTGGGGCAGGCAGATGATGATGGTGATGACGATGATGATGAAATAACCTGAAGAAACCCCAGACTACCGCCGATGTGTGTTGGTTACTTGTCTTTGAAGGGGAAAGCCGATCGATCGATCCCTCCTGTTTCAAACTCTGAGCGCAAGAGTCACACCTTGATATAGGTAGTTGGCTACAGTAGGTACCAACGCAACGCCGGTGTTTCTTTATAATTTTATGTGAAGGAGCAAACCCAGCTTACCTAACCCATGTCGATGGATGCTTGTTTCTTTCTGTTTCTTCTAATTAGTGAAATAATCACTTCTGTTTTTTTTCTTATTAAAAAGTTGTGTAGGTACTATACTTTTTAAAATTTAGGTACCTGCAAAAAGTGATAGGCCTGCAGAAGCGGCCCATCAAGTTGTTCAGTTTTTTTTTGTAGCTGTTTCTGCACTTAGTTCCTACTATAGATGTCGCTGCAGGTTTCTAAGACACGCTATCGAAATGTTCTTTTGAAAACTATTGCAGGGGGTACTTGACACCGACTTGATACAGATTTCATCCAGAGCGAAGTAAGGGATTCTAGAGTAGAATCCTGAACGCAGCGAAGGATTCAAAGTACGTCGCCCGAGCCAAAATTTATTTTGCGCCCGAGTACTTTCACTCTACTTTTCATCACCCTCTATGAGAAGATAAAAGGCGCCTCATATTTTATTGCAATTTTATACTTTCACTGTCACATGATCTAATTTTCAAAAGATTAATCAAAAGATAAATAAAATTCTATCAAGTGAAAATAAGAAATAGAAAAGATGACGTACATCGACCGGGGATCGAACCCGGGCCGCATGGGTAAACGCCCCACCGCTCTGCCACTGAGCTATCGATGTCTCCAAGCGACGATCCAGCGACATCTATAGTAAGTATTTAGAACTTACTACATGGTTAGTCCACATTATCAGTGGAATTCAAACCATATGATGAAGCTTGCTTTATCAATCTATTGGGATTGTAATGCACTCGCAGTGCTATATTATTCTCACAAGTGAAAATAAGAAATAGAAAGATGACGTACATCGACCGGGGATCGAACCCGGGCCGCATGGGTAAACGCCCCACCGCTCTGCCACTGAGCTATCGATGCACGGCCGATGGACGCTAAATTTTCTATCTCTTGATGCTCGTCTCCAAGCGACGATCCAGCGACATCTATAGTAAGTATTTAGAACTTATGGGCCGTCGTCCCATACATCCTTTATTCGAACAATATTTGCGTTCCATTTCTTTGGCGCTGACTGAACATCAAGATGTTCAAGAGATTCAAAGTAGATTTATTCGAACTTGTTGAGTTCTTTATTTAAAAAGTGCGAATAAAAGAACTTTGCGGCGCGTTCTTTTCGAATAGATAGATAGGATGAAAACAACTTTCCCCAAGGAACATAGTTCAAAATATAAGGAGTAAAAAAATTAACTGCAAATATTTTAAGAAGTGAACCAGCCCATGAAACTGAACAACTTTCCCCAGGGATCATAAATAGAAATATGAAAAAAATTTGGACCTTCTATACAAAATGTTCTGGCCGCCCGGTCAGTTTGTATGGGAGAGCCAAATTTTTTTTTTCGTATTTTGACCTATATTTCTTAGGAAAAGTTCTTCAGTTATATGGACTGGTTTACTCGTTAAAATATTTGCAGTTATTTTTTTTACATACTGTAGGAAAAAATAATTGTACCTCCCATACAAAATGCTCCAGCCCATAGCCGACCGTGTTAAATTTGTAGAGAAGGTCAATTATTTTTTCATTATTCGACCTATGCTCCTTGGGGAAAGTTGTTCAGTTTCATGGACTGGTTTACTCGTTAAAATATTTGCAGTTATTTTTTTTACATACTGTAGGAAAAAATAATTGTACCTCCCATACAAAATGCTCCAGCCCATAGCCGACCGTGTTAAATTTGTAGAGAAGGTCAATTATTTTTTCATTATTCGACCTATGCTCCTTGGGAAAGTTGTTCAGTTTCATGGACTGGTTCACCCCTTAAAATAATTTGAGTAGGTTTTTTACATCTAATACTTATTTCTCTACCGCACGCGACGCGATATCGATTTACGTGCAAACTTATTTCAAGTATAGTGGCAACCCCCCCTTTTAGGGGTTGATTTTTTTTAGCCTATAACCTGGTCGGTAACTTTCCCAACATTTTGGTATAATTTGCATCAAAATCGGTTCAGTCGTTTTTGCGTGATGCTTCCTCATATAAACAGATAAACAGAGAAACAGACAAACAGACAAACAGATAAACAGACAAACAGAAAAACAGAAAAAAAAATTAAAAATTGCTGAAACGTGTTCTGTTATCATTTTTAAGTATCACCAAACACTTTTTTTTAGAAAATCTTCTATGTACAGACTTTCGACCCTCTACAACTTTATTATATGTATAGATAACGTCGCTTTGTGTATTTCTCTTCCACGGACACCACTAACTCCTTCTAAATATGACTTAACAATTTATTACTATTATTACTATATAAATGTGAGTTAAGCCCTTTCTTAGTAGGTACACTTCCATAAAATCACTTTAAAGTAAGTGTGAGCGACTGAAGTACAAATTGATGGCAAATTGGTGAAAGTTTTTTTACTAAGTATGAATAATTCAAGAAATTAATAACTTACAAATAATTTAGTAACAAAATATAGACTGGTTATTTTAGTTTTTGTTCGTGTATTGTTACCTACGCTATCACAATACCTAGTATTTTTTGCGAAACTTATGCAGATTTTTCCATGCCAATCAATTTTCTTCTACAGAATGAATCACATAGCTGCCTGCGGTTATGCAGTTTGATTCGCAGTATTCATACGTAATATCTCAGGTAGTGATCACTGATTAGGTGGTTTGAGGCTACCAAGGTCGCCACTTTGCTGTGATGTCTAGTAATTAGGCACATGACGCATTCAAGATGCACATAGTCACACATATTACCTATTTTTGTAACCAAGTGGAAGAAAAACAACCTTGGGGATTTTTAATAGCATTCGCGTTGATGTCTTTTGTTCCAAAAACTAATTGCACGTAATGTATGTATGGTTTTGGCTGAAAAAAACCTTATTTGAATTTAATGTTTTGCTACGTGTTTTTATGTCATCAACATTTTTTGTTGCCAAAGTTGTGTTAAAATCAGTGTTATCGTAAGAAAACTTCGTTCTTTTGATGAAAATGTAGGTCTACATTTTTACGTTAAGTGTTAAAAGGTCTTTAGTTAAATTTCACCAAAGGCTGGAGTAATATGGATTTTTCTGAATATGACATCAAAGATTTTCCACGCTAGCTGTTAGATTTCATCTTATCTCATATACATATTTTATGCCATAAACTTAGATGATTATTAGTTCCTTTACGATAGATATAGTTGTGCTAAAGCATCAATAAGTTTTCCGTGTAGATAAGTTACACTTAGCAGCTAAAAGGCCAGATTACCTGCAATTAATTAACCGATGCATTTACACAAATTATCCAAAGTACCGATTATCGTGACTGGTCGTATGCTCAATTGATAACGAACATAATAGTAGCACAGTATAATTAATAGTAATAGTTGGTTGTTATTCATAATATTGCAATGATGATCTCTTTGTGGTGAGATGTATGCGGAAATTCGTAAGTTCGATCTTGCTACGATAAAAGTTATTTATTTTATTTTATTTTATTTTTATTTTATTTATCATTGAGAAACAAACAGCAGTCTTTTCCGCTAATCATGAACAATTCAAAATTTACCGTAACAGCCACAGCAGTACACTGCTGGACATGGGCCTCCCTCTATCGGAGGGTATTGCCATACTCAGCACCAAAATATTTAAGGTCTCGATTTTTTAATAAAGGTTTATCTTATCTTATCTAGCCCGTTTTCTAATTTAGGTCAAATATAATGTTCTGATTTTAATATTCTGTATTATTTATTTCCAGCCGACTACATCACACTATGCAAGCGGGATCAGGACACGATAGACCAGTGTGCCAAGAACGCGGTCGAAGCGCTTCGGCCGAAGCTTCGAGAAGGCATCCCTGAGCTCAATGTGCCAAGTCTGGAGCCCTTCTATATTCCTGAGGTAAATTGTCACAGCTAAAGGTTTTTATATAGTCATAGAAAATGACATAAACGTGGTCGAAGCGATTTGGCCGAAGGCAACCCTGATGTCATTTTGGCTAGCCACGAGTCGTTCTATATCAATGTGTTTAGTTGTAACAAATATCTTTATTATAGACATATAATTTGATAAAAACGTGGTCAAAGTGCTTTGGCTGAAGCTACGAGATAGTAGAAGTTTAACGCGCTAAGTCTAAAGCCTTTTTACATTTCGGAGGTTTATGACAGCTGCCTATAAATAGTCCTCCTGTCTCGACACTGAGACAGCGGAAGTCATAAAGCACCATGGTCTAGCGTGCTAAGAACGCAGTAGAAGCGCTTCTTCACCCGGAACTTGTAAGAATGCTAAATTCCTAATGCTAGGTTTAGCTGTCAATTATAAATAATATTCAGTCATAATTATTATAATCAACGACACAAATAGCTACAAAGGTCAAATCTTTGCAGCTGATGAATAATAAATCGATTTTACTGTATTAGGCATCATTTTACAAAAAAAAAATAGTTTAGTTTGGTGTCTATCATACAAAAAAGGGTGGGTTTGTTGACAGCAATAATATTTCAACCATGGCTAAACCAGTTTATAACCCTATAATAAAACATAAAACAATTTTAAAGGATTTTTAAGTTTGTTTGTGTTAAAGTATTTTAGGTTTATATATCCTACGTGCATTATAAAGTGCAGAATACATCCCTTCCGTATTCAGGGCGTTGCATGCGCGTCATCGCGAGGGTACCGCGATGTGCCATGTCTCACACGATTCTTCCTAGTGTTGACGCTCGATAGTGGACTATCGATTGTAAAACGATAGACTATCGATAGTTTTTTTTTAACTTAACCGATAGTCAAATAACTATCGATAGTATTGCTTCATTTTGAACTATCAATAACTATCGATAGGCCTATCGATTGTATAGGCCTTAATGAATGAAAACTATAGATAGTAAAACACTAATTCTTTCCATGCATTACAACGACATAGTTACGCGCGTGATTTTGGATACGGAGGCGGTGTGTTCTGCCCTTAAAATCTGGATCTGTTTCTAATCAGAACTATGCATATATTTTACCTTTCAGATCAGAACAAATGACGGCGAGCTAGCAGCGCTGCGGGCGCAAGCCAAAGATGTGAAGGTGACGGGCGCAGGGGACTACATCATCAAGAATGTACAGTGAGTTCGAATCCTTATATTGATTTAAATTGATTTTTGCCATGTTTCCTTGCTTCGGAGAGCACGTTATTCCGTCCTAAGGCCGTCGTTAGCAACCGGGAGCTAAATATGTTTACCTACTTGGATGACGGTCATTACATGACCATGTCAGAGGCCTGCACCTTGAAGTAGGCGGTTGAAAGCCTCTGACACTAGGATTTATCAGGCCGTTGGACGACACGATGTCCCCCACGAGAAAAGAAAAGTATGCCATCTATGATGCCATCTATCATCCCATTTCCGAGCATGCACGACATCTGTGTTTCTCGCTAGAAACTTGTATCAAATAACCTTAAGCAAAATCCGTAAGAAAACTGCCGTACACACACACACTTACCAGCTGCATTATATTAAAGTTTGGCTTAATGTAAATAGATGGCGCTGTATCAAGAAGGTTTTTATTTAAAAATAATTTGGTTGAAATATGCGCTGTGTGATAAGATAATTATTGAAAGAAACTAGAAATAAAATTTGAACTGATAAACGCGGATAAAAAGATGTAAGATCACCTTCTACATTAAAATA